TTACCACCTGTCAATCACTTTTTCTGCGGGACTCGTGAATAGGCAGTGATCTGTGTCGTTATAAAGGTGTCGGTAAAAAAGACGCACAACCAACAGGAACCAGCCAGCAGTATCTGAGGTGTTCGCTAAAATGACTAAGTACTTTGTTGAAAGAAAAAGATAAAAGCAGTCTACTGACCCGCTGACTGCCTTGACCCGCTGTCTCGAGCGCATGAGAATGTGTGTGCGTCTGTGTCTGTGTGTGAATGAGTGTGTGTGTGGTCACGTGATGTGCGTTTTCAGCGGTAGTGAGGAAGGAGGGCTGCTCAGAAATGCTACACGCCAGTGTGGATGTGGATCGTTGTCGTTCTAAAATGCCATTTAAAAACAAAGACATATTAGTGTAAACAGGGCCTGAGTGTGTATTTTTTGCGAGCGGATTTGCAACGGGTGCGGGGCGGAGGATCGCGATGCGCCCATCGTCTATCATCCCAACCATAATACGTACATAGCAGAGCTTGCAAACTGTGTTTTTTTTTTGTCGACAACACGAACGTTGTCAACATAACTAACTGGAAATCCAAAATGCTTCCACACCGGCAACTTCATTGAAAGAGGAGAGGATTTAAGCTCTGTCGACGGATCTCCTGCGTCTGCAGTTTAACAAGCACTTTAACAAGCGTGTTTTTTTACCGCTTGGCAAGCCAAGCTGACGTGACATGGGGGCGTGGCAGCATGGACGATTGTATTTTTTGATTCGATAATCGAAGTTGAGCATAAATTTCGATCGATTTCGATTAAAAATCGAAATTGTGACACCCTTTATGTGGGATTAGGATATACTGTATATATGATGTTTTATTAACAATCAGTACGTTTACATGGACACCGATAATGCGATTTTAATACCATTAAGACAAATCCATCATTAGCCAACTAAGGTCACAAGTTCTGTCACTACAAACAAAGTTCATTGATTTGGTATTTCCTAAATACATTGTTCCAACGAAATAATTTGGTTACTGGTGTCCATGTAAATGTAGTCAGGGATCGAAAGGAGCACAAACCGTCACATTACAGTAAGGCATTATTTTACTAACATGAACTGTGCATGACCAACACTTATTAATTGTAGTAAATGTCAGTTGTATTATTTACTAATGCATTATTAAAAGCCAGTGTTGTGCTTGTTAACATTGCTATTAGTAAAATTAATATTTTTAACATATATTTTCATAAATGTTAACAAAGATGAATAAGTGTACTGTAGTAAATGTATTGTTCATGTTAGTAAAAAGGTTAACTACTAATAACTAATGCAATCTTTTTTTTTTGTAATCTGTTACCTTGTTGACCTTAACTAGGGTGCAACAAGGTTTACAACGTTGTGCAACTTGGGATTAGAGTAGGGATGTGGGCTGCAATTAATTTCATTAGTGTTTGATGAAAATGGAAATCTGTCACTCAAACAAGCTGCTGAAAAATAGGTTATACACATGTAATGCACTTGCCTTAGACTTAAGCATTCACTTATTTAAAATTAGAAACATATTAATAACTGAACTGATAGGCAGCATAGGACCAATAAATGCAAACTCATTATTATTTAGAGAATTCTTAAAGTAAAACTGAATTAACTAGGTCAGATTTGAGTTGATGTTAAATGATGGTTGTTCGTTTACAAGGCAACTGGTTGCATTGAGCTAATTTTGTACACAAATTATAAAAAATGAAGAAACAACTAACACACATATGTTCTGAGGACAAATTAAATATGGTGTCTACTCCATTATATTATTAATACTGGCAGCTAGCTCTCTGCAACTCTTACATGGTCGCCCACTGAAGATAAGCTGTAGCTGGATGGGAGACCACATGGGAAAGCCAGTTTGCTGCCAGAAGTGGTGTTAGTGGGGCCAGCAGGGAGCGCTCAACCTGTGGGCTGTGTGGGTATAGTATAGTATAGTATAGTATAGTATAGTATAGTATAGTATAGTATAGTATAGTATAGTATAGTATAGTATAGTATAGTAGCATACTGCTCAGTGAGTAAAAAAAAGAGTGAGTTTTTCGGATGAGAGTCGGAGTCTCGTTAAAAATCCTAGGATGTTCTTCAAAAAGAGTAGGGGTATAACTCCAGCCATCATGGTCTCCTAACCACCCCCATATTATAATTGGCTTGATAATTATATATAATGTGCGGTCTGGCGCAATATGGCTGTCGTTGCGTCATCCAGGTGGATGCTGCACACTGGTGGTGGATGAGTGGATGTGTAAACTGAGACTTTGAATGTCCAAAAAAGTGGTTCATAAATGTAATGAATTATTAATTAATTATTATTATTAAATAAAACATTAATGTGAAAAATTTTATAAAAACTGATATTTTTGGTGGATTTCAAAACATTGGTGTTGCCTTGGTCTTGATTACAACATTATTAAACTGTTAACAATTACATGTTTTTTTTTTGTTTTTTTTTTTTAAGTTATCAAAGTTACATATCCATGTCATTCAGAACGTTTATTGCAAAAAATAAATACAGGTATGATGCATATTATGACACAAAGCAAAGCAATATAATGATAGCGATTTTATACAAAAAGTTTAATAGTGACTTTTAGACACTTTTTTAGCACATAAAGTTAAAGTGAGAATTATTAGCCCCCCTGAATTATGAGCCCTCCTGTTAATTTTTTCCCCCAATTTCTGTTTAACGGAAAGAACATTTTTCCAACACATTTCTAAACATAATAGTTTTGCTAACTCATTTCTAATAACTGATTTATTTTATCTTTGCCATGATGACACTAAATAATATTTTACTAGATATTTTTCACGACACTTCTATACAGCTGAAAAGACATTTAAAGGCTTAACTAGGTCAATTAGGTTAACTAGGCAGGTTAGGGTAATTAGACAAGTTATTGTATAATGATGGTTTGTCCTGTAGAAAAAATATAGCTTAAAGGGGCTAATAATATTGACCTTAAATTTTTTTTTTTAAAATAAAAACTGCTTTTATTCGAGCTGAAATAAAACAAATAAGACTTTCTCTAGAAGAAAAATATATATAAATTATCAGACATACTGTGAAAATTCCCTTGCCCTGTTAAACAAAATTTAGGAACTATTTAAAAAAGATAAAAAAGGGGGGTTAATAAATCTGAATTCAACTGTACATATGTGCTTTATTTGGGTGTTAAACTTTGAAATACTAAACATAGTTACCTATAATCTATACATTTGATAATATATATATATATATATATATATATATATATATATATATATATACCAGAATATTCACTCATTTAAAAATGGCTTTATTCTGTTTTAAAACAGCACATTTTAATTACAGTGTGTTTACCTAACAAAGCTCAGGTGTTTATATTAATACCATAATAAGTTTTTATTCATTAAAAATGATAAGATAAAAATGTATGTGTATCTTGAACTTTATATTGGCATATTCTGTAAACATTTCAAACAGCTTCAGATAATTATTTAGTAAGTAGTTTCACAGTTAAACATTACTTTAACTCTTTTTATTTAATTGGCCCAAACATGACTCTGTCTCTGTATTATAATATTGGCTGGATTTGTTTTTATTAGCCCTGTAATAATTTGCCATTCTGAATATTGGGTAGATTTGCCTTAAGTTAACAATTTTGAGACGTATATTAGGAGATGTTACATGTCTATAATAAGTCCAAGCAAAGAATATCTTTGTCTTTTTCTTCATCTCTTCTTAATTAAGTTCAAGCAAAGATATTTTTGCTCCTCCAACATTTTATTAATTGGCCTTTTCACAGTCTATGAGCATCTTCATGTAGTAAGTCCAATTTAAGTCTCACAGTTGTATTTGATTCACTCTGATTAATTCTATAAAAATACTGTTTTGCACCATCTGCTTCACGCTACAAATTCAGTTGTGCTGCAGCTGAACAAGAAGTTCTTTCCGCATCTGTGGAAAAATGCACATGCAAGAATCATTCCGATTCCTGACCCCGTTGAAAACCCTCACAAACGTCATGAAATCATTTTGCTATTTTTTCCAAGACTCTACTGTCTACCTACACCAATAAAAATTCAGAAAATGTCTCATGAATGAAAAGAGCACGACCTCATGCACATCTCCAGCATGCCCTCGTGGGCTCATGACTGAGGTTGAGAACCTCAATGTGAATGAATATGAGTGAGGAACATGGTACACAGAGTGGAACGGCTCCTGAGAAAGAGCACATGTGGTTGGTGGATAACAGGGTGTGTATGTGTATGCGTGTGTGTTAATGTATCTCACTGTGTGGCTTCGTTGGAATGAGGTCACTGGGTCTCGGCCCTATTTAATTAATTAGGGAACAGTGGAATGGAAAATGGATAGCAATCAGAGGCTCACTAATTTCAGACCTGCCAATCAATAAGCCGTAGCGCTGGATTCTCCTTCAGGGGCTGTAGTGGGTCTCATTTTGTGTTGAATGTAGGATACCAAATGCCTGTATGTGCATAAATATTCAAGATTTGTATTTTAAGGGTCTCAAGAGGCACAAATGCAGTGAAAAAAAATGTGAAGCACACAATTTTGCCACTAAACCTCCAATTTGTGAATGGCCACACAGAGATTTAAAGCAACCGTCAATCCACGCTCTGAAAAAGACACACACACATTTCAGTCACCCTCACAGTCACATCACTTGAAGGAAATCAAACCAGGAGAATCTGACCCACAGTAGCCACTGAAGAAATCCCAGTATGCAGTGCATAACAACAGCAGTGTGCATAGCAACAACTGTCTCTCACATAGCAACCACACCACAGTGCATAGCAACCACTGGCAGCTCTTTGTGTATTCCCTGTTAGTTGCTTGCATTTGACGCTAGGTGAACTGCAGTGTCTTTGTGACTCACCCGGTGGAGATGAAGTGGAGCGTATCAAAACAAGTTTTGATTTGCTGTTGTTTAATATCATAAACTGTCATCATTAAAGAGTGCTTTTTTTTCTTGTGTGTGTCTTCCTCTCACAGATATTCGTTCGTTGCCTGATGTTGCCATGACGGGGAACTGCAGTCAGGAGTGCAGCGAGCTGGGTCACTCAGATGCTTGTTGGATGCCCGGTCAGCCTTCGCCTGTTCGCAAGACCCGCAACCCCCCTAAACTGTCCACGTTTGTGCCTTATCAGGAGAGGGGGAGCCTGGGACGCCTGGCCAATGGGAGTGTGAGGCTGGGAGGAGATGAGAACAGGCCACGCCTCCCACCTTCCCGTAGTGCCTACTCCAGTAGTGAGCACGCCCCCAGTGACCACGCCCCACTGGAGGAGGTGCCTCTGAGTGTGACATCAGAGTTCCCGCCTACCAGCCCCCCCTCCAATCACGCCTCGAAAAGAGAGATTTACCTGTGAGATAACCACGCCCACCATCTTTGATTGACGCACATCAGAAGTTTCAGAGACACGGTGCGCAAAACGCGAACATCGAATCTGCGACAGGATAAAATATCAATCGAATAGTGGAAAACACACTATTGTCATCAAAGTAGATTTATTTATTTATTTTATTTATTTATTCATACCTTCATCTATTTATTATCACTTTTAACATGTCGTTTCTTTTAAACTTTTGTACCGTTTTTGCATACCGTCATCCGACTAACCGACTTTTAGCTTCGCTAGCCTACAGAATGTCCATGGGTTCTTTTACTAGACTACCAAGTGCTGTAGTGAGCAGGAGATACTGCTGTAAAGGGTCTTGAGCCACATAGAGTGTCTAACACTCTTAACTTGATCCTGTCCTCAGAGGAGAGCAGTCTTTATACGTGTAAAACGCTGTAAATACATTTGTATGGTGTATATATGAATATATCTCTCCGGCTTGAGTTTAAAAAATTAAATAAAGGTCAAAAGTTACATCTAAATCAGCCTGAATACCTTAAGTGTGTGTCGGTGCCACTGCTTTAGAGGGTCTGAGCGTTTGTTATGGGATTGTGATGTCCTGGCGGTGCTCTGTGACCCTTGCCGTGCCCGTCTAGAATTTAGATCCGTATGCGCGCTGTATAGTTTGTGTGTAGGTGTGCATTTAGTGAGGGTGGGTTTTAACAGCGATTAACTCGCTTTGACAGACCTTAACATATGCCGGTGAGCGCGTCAGGGGACCTACCGTCACGAAAAGTAACACATGTGGCTCCTGGCACATTAACACACTTTTCAACAGATGAGAATGTGCGCTCATACTTTTGTGTCATGCGGCAGAACTTGTGTTTTTTGGCACTGTGAATCTCTCCTGAACTCCCACGGTGTAGTGCAAAAGCTACCTGGCACTGGCAAAGACGCCTACGGCTCACACAGCACAGCCTCAGCGAGGAGGAGACCACCTGCCTCCCCTCAAATTATCAGTTCCGTTAACTTGATGGTGTGTTAAGTCCACAGACGCGCCTCGTATCCATTCCATTTTGGCCACAGTCATAATCACGGTCTTGTTTTTGGTTGTTTACATGGTTTCAAATGAACTCTTTGTGTCCTATTTAGACTTTGTTTGAAGAACAAATGTATTAATGCCTTAAAAACAGTTGTATATAACAATCACAATGGACAAATTAGACTGATAATCCTGTCTTGTCTTTGGCATGTCAATTGTGCATGTTTTTTTTCCACACAATCAAAAAAAAAAATGGCAAACAGTTACATCACCACAATTTGCAATTTTTTTCGCATTTAATGTCCTGTCCTCCATCGATTGGGTATTTCTTCTTTTTTTCGTTGACACTGTGCTGACTATCTAACTTGCTCTAAAGCTGTGTCTCCCTCCATGTTTGAGAGAATCTCTGGGGGACCATTTTGACTATCTAGTGTGCTCAAGGACCATAAATCTGATGGACATTATCATTATTATTGCATCACGGTGCATTGCCTCAATATCTCTACTCTTTTTTTCCCCCGCACCTGCTGCAGCACGGTACCCGTGTGTCTGCAGGGGGGTCGACGAGGTGTACAGCAATGGGCATTTCCTTAATTAGGGTGAGTAATGAGTGTGGTGCAGTTGACATATGTGAACACTCCAGCCCCCACCCAAAGGAAGCACAGATCCCCAATCCGAACGCTTCAATTGTTGAGTCGCGTTTTTCACTGCACTTACCTCATCGCGACTGCCTTCAGCACCTCTCGCCGAATAATTACGTATGGAAATGACTGGACGTAGCCATGATTAAATAAGGCGAATGATTATCCCACCCTAAGGAAAGAAAGCACATTATGCTGTTTTCAAAGCCATTTAGTGACTCTGATTGGGGGGCGGGGGGAGGGGGTATCCAGCAAGAGTCATGATCCGGCGTAATTAGCCCAGCTCGCTTTCCCTCTTCTCCGCTGCAAGCGCGCTCTTCTTCCCAGGCGAACGTGTGAGATCGCTGACCTGGACTTAACACAGCTAAAAGATAGAGATGACCACAAAAGTCTACCACCACTTACAGGCTTTCATCTATTCAAACTCGGAGTGAAGCAGGCTTTGACCTTCCTCCACTCCGATGCCAGCCTGAGTCAGATAGTCTGAATTGCAGGTTTAGACTCTTCTGGCTTCATCGAGGCTGTTTTAGTGCTAGTAATTCTAAGGCTAGACTCCTCGAGTCCTTCCTGAGGACGGACGGAGGAATGTCCACTTCTCGTGGTTGTTTTTTAAACTGGTGTTTAGATGTGTGCTCTTTCGCTGTTAGATGTCTGGATGTGACGAGACGACCATAACGAACGAGGGAGTCTTTTTCTTCGTCCTTAGAGCGAGACTTTTCTTCATAGAGTAACGGAAAAAAACTGGTGTTTGTGGTAAACATCTCTTCAAAAGTGTTCTGTACATAGCTCTCCACATTCTCCCCCCCGTGCGTGGTGTCAAGCAGGCGACGCGTTGAGCATGAATTCCAAAGATAATTGGTAGAAACCGTTTACTGTTCTTGCTGAAATGTTAGTGCCGGTTCAGAAACCTTTTCTTGAGAACAAAAGCGACGTTCACTGCACAAAACTCATCTTCACCGTTCACCCCAAACTGAAGACAGCTGCCTTGAAAGTATGTCTTTTGCAGGAGAGTTCAAAACTTGTTATCCTTAATTGTTGGTTATATTTATATAGGACTAAAAATGCTTGTGATGATCTGTTTTTGTACAGTTTTATGTACATGCAAGTGAAGCTTTTTAAATCTTACAACAAAAGCCGATGGCATATAAAAATCGTAAAGTGTTTATTGAGATATGTGCACATCTTGCCTTGGATGGATCGATCTTTTTTGCAGAGTCAGTGTGAATGTGGCCGTCGTATGCCTGCACCGTAGTCATTCACTGGCTCCTGTCACAGAGGGCTTTATCAGATTTTATGTTTATTGTGAACAGTGGGTTGTCCGATCCGACTTGTTTGTTTGATTCCCATGTGTTTCGTTTCGTTCTGTTTCCGCATGTTAAAAACAACCCCCTTGTAATAAGTCCTTGCAAAGTTTGTAATAAAACGAGTGAGAAAAAGAACAAAAAACAAAGAAATACATTTGCTTGGTGAGTCATTGTTTAAGAATGAATCTAGGGACTGTGATTTCTCCATAGAGCGTTTTCATTAATAAAGCAAATTGATCTGACAAAGATGTAAGACTCGTTTTTTTTTTTCTTCGTCTCCCCTCTCAAATTCTGCGTCTCTTTGCCTGTGTAAACAGAGAAAGAGCTAAAGGTTACGCTTTTGCCAGACTGACAGAAACTTAATAGAACAGAATACCGAATGTGAGATCTAGCTCTCACTTCACAAAAGCTGCCCATCAATATTAATGATCAAAAAAACGCAAGACCCTGAGTTTTCTCAAACCTAATTCTCTCCTCTACAAGGAGTTAAACCGTTACACCCAAGACCTCCGAGTACTCGACAGCACAATAAAGACAAAGCCGTAAAGATGATAACGCTCAGATGAAAGACAATAAATCAATCCGGCTTTCATTTGGTGCGCTGTCTTTATAGATATGCCACCACGTAATTCGCGCACCTCTGAAATGATAGCTTTCACAGATAAAAATAAATGGATGTGAGCCAATGCTCATAAACAAGTTAGAAAAGAATACATGATGGAAAGTGAGGTAAATACTCAAAGTATGAGAGTGAACAGACAAGTATGAGAAATGTAAGTCACACGGTGGAGCTTTCAGAAGGCCAAACTGCCACCCGATGGTCCTCAGGAGAACTACAACTCCCTCTTTGAAAAAAGCCAACACAGAGGAGAAGGATTAGCGTTTAATACCTGATACTCAACAGTTAGGATTAATGAATCAGATAGCCTTCCTTTCTGCTGGTGTTCTTCAGCTTCTTGTTGACATCACCTACAGCATGCACACGTTCCCGAGGACGTCGGATGAAACGAGCGGAGCCGCATGAATAATAATTGAGATCAGGATGATAGTGGACCACATATAGAAGCACATTTCGCAGATAGGGATGCTCGTAGCGGCTTATTTAACTGAGGCTGCGATGGGAGGACCCACTGAGTTTTTTTCATTAATCTCCTTCTAATGGATAGGTTTTCGCTTCGCCTCGCACTCTGCAGGCTGAGCTTTAAAAAGGAGCCGTTTCGCTGGTGTTTTGTTTACGTGCGGCTGGGGCATTTGTTTCTTGTTGCAGAGGGAGCCTCGGCTCAGGCAGAGAGGGTCTTTCTTCAAGATGAAACTACCCCCTCGGCTACTGCCTACTGTTGATCCGCTGTTGCCATAGAAACCTGGCCCCTCTCTCTTTTCTGTTGCTCATGCTCTCCCTCACCCACGCTCGTTTCGCTCTCGCTCGCTTCGTTAAGCGCGGTGCTGCTGGCAATTAGAAGCAAAGCCAGCGGCGGGGACGGCTGCCTCTCAAATGTACTCTCCAATTAAACACTGTCAAATAGCGGCGTATCTCAAACCGCCGCCTCCCGCCGTCCCCTCCTATCACACGACACATTTGTGCCTCTGTAAAGAAGGATAGTTTGAATCATGCCAAAATAAACAGGCGCAGAGATCAATGCGCGAACGGATTCCATCCATTTCCGCCAGCATCCATAATGATGCTGAAGGCGGTGCGTTGTGTTTTTCCCATAGTCACAAGGCGCTAAAAACTTGATTATTCTTTCATTCAGCAGAAGATGCGTGTAGCTGCAAGCCTTAAAAAGGTTTTCTCCACAGTATTGATTGCACATTTTTCAGGAAAGTGAGGTGTTTTACAGATCGTGGGCACTTAAGACTCATAGAAAATTGCTGGACTAAAGCCCTCTCATATTCAGCTATTTGTACTGCTGTCCTACATATCGACTCTCATACACTATAGACGTAATTTGTGCATTAAAATCAATGGCGCAATTTAAACAGCATCATCATTAAAAAGGTTTACGTGCTAAGTCAATAAGCACAGCGAGGATGCTTTAGAAACCGCAGGCGCAGGCAATGTGGTGCATCAAAAAAACCCATTTTGCGTCAGTTTTCATGCAGCGTTCTATGGACTCCTTTCTTGTCAATAAAGCGTCTCTTTGTCTCATTTAACACCAGATTAGGTCCCACATGAACTCAATCTTCCAATCATCTATGATCCCGAAACAGCCTAGAGCCATCCATCAGCCTTGACAAACACAGCGACCGAACGTTACACCTCACGCTAGTGCCTTCTCACCCGTTCACTGGGCCTTCCACAGTCGCTTAGGCCTCAGGAGGCTTCTCCTGTATGTTCAAGTGGAAAATCACTTTTTGAATAACTACTTGTCCCTCTCCCACACTCGTTCACTGCCTTGTCTGTGGCATTCTGCTTGATAAAAATGGCCAATAGCTCATGACTGGCAGAGAGAGAAAGAGAGTTATAGGGTACTATAAGAGTTCACATTTGTGGACTATAGTCCAACAGGAACTAATATTTAAAGACATGTTTTATTGACCCGCGCTGTTTGTGTTTGTCGGCTCGTTAAAGGGGTGGTTCAAAGTATTTTTAAGGCTTAGTTTTGTTTATGAGGCAAACACAAAGCAATGTGTGCTCATGCTTGATTTGTAGAAAATCAAGTTGTTTTTTCATATATCTTACTTTAATTATACAGCTACTCAGCTATGATTAAAAACAACTGTCATATTTCCTAGTTCCTCTGTAAGCTTTCTCTCAAGAGGCTCTGATTGGGCAGATAACATGATGTGTTGCTATTCTTGCGGATCAGCCTCATGTCACCAGGAAGCATCTCTGCAATAACAGAGCATCTGGCCACGCCCCTTTGCTGCAAGCGGAGTATGCTCGTAGCCTAAAGGGTTTATGACATCATTAACACAGATGTATTTTTTGTAGTCCCCAAACTTCATTCGCTATAGGCTTCGCTAAGCTAACTCTGTAAAAGCCATTAGGTGCGTTTGACTTCATGCAGCGCTGTGCAGATCAATCAGAGTATGTCTTAAAGGGGTGCATGCTGGTTAGAAATTTTGTCCGGATTGACGCTGCACAAATGCCACGTGACTGTCACATGTGGCTTCAAAGTACTGCAACTGCTCTCAGATTAGATGACTGATTCAGCTGATGCAGCATCTGAAGCGCGACTGCTGGAGCTACGATGGCAACACTGATATTACACGATTGGCCGAGTTCACCACATGACAACAACCACGTGTGTTTCGAGTTTATTATTGGACACATTCCGATTCACAAATTTCAAAACAAACTATTAATTTTTAATACCTTCTCTATCGTGTATATATCATATACAAATATAGTGCTCATTTTTTTGTGTAATAATCTGGTTATAAAGGCTAGGTTGTTTGCACAGGTTGATTTTCAACCTTTTTTATACAGACTTTTTACGACACTCAGCTTCATGAACTAAATGATATATTTTAGTAAATAACCTGAATATTAACTCAATTAAGTCTTAAAGACTTATAAAACAATAAAATTATTATCATCATTGATCCTGCCATTCTAAAGGTTTCTTAACAAATTCAGTTAAAGAACTATTTTATTAAATAATTATAAAATTATATATATATATATATATATATATATATATATATATATATATATATATATATATATATATATATATATATATATATATATTCATATAATTTTTTTTTATTATTTATTTATTTATTTATTTATTTTTCCTGTTTAGCCGTTTATGCACAAGTTTTAAAAGTGACATTAATGTATCCGCTCTTTCTGGGAAACTTCAACTTAAAGTGTAGCTCACTTATTTTAGAGTTAAAGCGCTTTTTTAAAAATGCTTTCATTATCCAAAATAATCTTAAACATTGTTTAAGACTTAATCAAAACACCTTGTTTGGGGTTTTACATTAATATATATTGGAAAGTTTTCTATCTATAAATGTAAATAAATGTAAACCCCTTTTTAGCATATTCAAACAAGAAGAAGCCTAAAAGGGGATGTTTAAACTGTTTAAAATTTGTTCTCATTGCTTTGTATTTAATAGGCCTGTACATTTGCTTATATTACCCTCTCATTTCCTCTTTTTTCTCTCATGCATTGGTCCCACTTTATATTAAGTGTCCTTAACTACTATGTACTTACATCAGAAAATAAATACAATGTACTTACTGTGTTTATAATGTATTTGAGAATTTGCGGTGCTCTTGAGTTGGGATAGGGGTTGGGTTATGGACAGGTTTGGTGGCATGGGTAGGTTTAAGGGTGGGTTAAGGTGTGGGGATGGTCAACAGTTTATTTACAAATGTAATTACAAAAGTTTATTACAGATGTAATTACATACAAGTACTTATTTAAGCATAAGTACACAGTAAATACATGTATTTACACAATAAGTACATTGTAACAAACTATTAGTTCCTATGTAAGTACATATTAGTTAAGGCCACTTAATATAAAGTGGGACCCATGCGTTTATTATATATTTAATTCATAATTCCCTTATTTAAAAAAAATAATAATTAAATAAATATTTTGTTGTTATAAATAGAAGGACAAAAAAAGATGATGACGCCATGTTATCTGTCATAACGACTGCCGCAACTTTGAGCCCCGTGTTTGGCTGTCCAGCTTGACGGCACCGTTTTCAACTCCACCCCTGCCTGCGCTCGGCTAATCTCGTTGATCACCGGCTGCCGCCATTGTTCAAGTCAAATGATCCTAATGTCTCTCTTTGCTTTGAACTTTGAGCGTATTACATTCAGAGATGTTGTTTATGTTCACACAGCTACATTACACATCAACTAAACTTTAAAATATGATAGCATAGTGGACCACCCCTTTAAAAACGGATTATTGAAATGGGAAAGTCATAGCGGAGATCTAGAGAGAAGTCACTCAGTACTTCCCTGCCCACCCGCTGAGCACCGACACACACCTTGAGACTCGTTTGAATTCATCTTCTAATCCTGGAAACATGACACTTTAACATTAATCTAATTTACTGCAAGTCTCTGCCCAAATGGAATTAAAAACAGCTTTTCAAGCCACTGGCGTACATGGATTCAACAATGTCTGAGTCACCTGCGTGTGTGCATTTATACCTGAGGAATATTTATATTCTGTAGCTCAAGGTTTTAGATTTTATGTGTGTACAGGAAAAAAAACAGGTTTGTGTAGAAAGTCACAAATGCCTTAAACTAAAATTACACTTAATTACACTCACG